CCGAAGGAGACCGTCGAGCCAGCCGAAGATACGGCTCAGAGGTTGCTGCGGGGAGGCAGCAGCGCCAATCCCTATGAACGGAGCAAGAATTTTATGAACATCTACCGCTGGAGGATAAGATTCCCCGATCCGACTGAAACGTACCGATCGGGCGCATACGCTGGTGTTCTCTGGCGGAAAAAGATGGTTGCAGATGAGAGAGCTGCCGCAAAGAACAGTGAAGACGGTGAAACTCAGCACGTCTTTGCCGCCGACGCTTAGCAAACCTGGCTTAGTAGACTGACTCTACATGGATCATGTACAATAAATAAGATGTGGAATATAGTTATACAATGCCTCTCAACTTCTTCTGGATGGTCTCGCATTATCAACTAGCACTCGCCTCGGTCTGCTGGACTCTGCAGAAGCCGCTTTGGGCACAGGCTTCGTTGGAGAAGGCAGAATTTTGGCCTTGACTCGCGCGCGTGAAACTGTACTGACAGGTTTCGTTTCCGTTCTAGCCTTCTTCGCCGTGCTCTCTACTCTCCCTGCAGCACCTGCGCCCGCGCCTATCTTGCGCTTGACGCCCAGTCCATTTTCTTTTTCCTTGGCTGCAGGCGGCGGCTCCACAGCCCGGCCTTTGCCCTTGTCAGCAGCCGTAAATCGGGGCGGCGCTTTCGCCGGAATCTTCCTCCGAGGTGCAATAGTAGGCAACGAAACAGGACTCTCGGGCGGCGATTCTGTCACACCAAGCTCCTCTGCCAAGGTCAATTCTCGCGCAGGAGGCTCAGCAGGAATCACAGGAAACATCTCCTGATCCCCATCCTCCTCGGCCAAAACAGACAGAGGCATCGACGGCTCGCCCTCATCCGAAGCAGGAGAGTTTCCCAGCATCAGTATGCGACTCAGTGGACTCGGCTTGACAGGTGAATATGCGTGCACCATTCCCCGGGCGAATGGCTTGGCCATGGGGAACGGAGCTTTGAAAGGTGTTTCCGGAATTTCGGCGGGGGGTAGAGGTGAAGCTTCTGGTGGTGGGGGCAGTGAAAATGTTGGAAGGGGGGCAATACGAGCGGGGAACGCTGAGCCCGGAGCGGGTAGTAAAGCTGCGGGGGAAGGCGGGGGGAGAACAAATGAGGTCGGCAGTAGCGAGGATGACGCAGTCATCACACTAGGAGAAAGAACGACTTCCGTCTCGAATGCGGGCTCCACTCTATCTTTCGTTGGCGATAACTGCGACGATCGTTTCGATCCACGTGTTGATTTTCGCTGGGCGCCAGCCTTGCCTACAGTAACAGGTTTGGCGCCAACGTTCTTTCGCGGAGATTTGGGTCTTCTTGGAGATCGCCGCGGAACTGGGCGCTCAACGGATGCTTCTGCCTTGGGCGTCGGGGGAAGTTCTAAGAGCATCTTGTCCACTTCCCATGAACGTTTCTCGTCCAGAAATTGTTTGCGCTCAGCCTGAAAATAGCGACATTCAGCAAGAAGAGTATGTCATGGAAAAACACACCTCGAGCTCAGCTCGTTCGCGTCCGAACTTGATCGTGGCATCGGTGAACGTTCTCCGCTCTCGTTCCAAATCCAGTCTCAGTTTATCCAGTCTCTCTTTCTCCGCATCTCGCACAGGCTCAATCATCAGTTCCATGCTGACATCCCGGACATCGTAGTCCCTGACACGATGGTCTGCCGCAAAACGGTCGAAAGCGGCTTGGGTTTCTGTGACTTGCGATTTGCGGGAGCGATCTGTTCGAGAATGAGCCTAACCATCAAATCGTCGACGCGCCACACACCAAGCTCAGTCCGAAGTCCATCGATAACAGCTGTCAGTCTGGCAGCTTCTGTTTCCGAGGACGTGCCGGTGCTATTCGTAGACGATGCAATGATAGGTGCACTTGTAAACGGACGCATCACTGCCTCTCTTAGACCACCCAGTAATGCACTCAATTTATCGGTAGCAGCATCCGGAGAGGCCATCGGGAAGAGAGTCTGCGCTGTGAAAGGCGTCGGCTATGGGAGACATATCAATGTCCGCAAGGAAGAACACGACTTGCACACACCTCAGCTTCCGGCTCCTCTGAGACCCGGGCCTGATGTAGCATCGTCTGTGCTTGATTCACGGCACCAAGGAGAAGTCCTCGAAGCTTGGCGTTCTCTTCTCCCAAGATCCGGCGTGTCTCTTCGGATTGCTGCAAGGCCGTCTCAACGACTCCTGATCCGCGACCCCTCTCACTGACACTGCCATTCTCGACAACAATGAGATTGGAACAACGCAGCCCGCTCGACGATCCTGCCACCTTGGACTGAATGTCAGCGAGCTTGTTCCACCGCTCGGCCATGCGTTCGACATCCTTGTCCTTCTTCTTCAGCTCGGCTTGATGCGCCGAACGGACAGCTTGCAGTGCGGTACGCATGCGCTGCAGTTCGCCGGATGTCTGTTTCTGCGTAGTTTCTAGTGCTTGGAATGTTCGTGTCGACGCCCTGTCAAAAGAAAGTAAATAACTGGATTAAGGACGCGAGACGAATCACGCACGTTAATCGCGACTTGTGCAGATTCGCTTCTCGTTCGGCGTTCGCTGCAGTCTCCGCAGCCAGTCTATGCATCTCCCGCAGCCTCTCGTGGTCGTATGTGAGCGTCCGCAGTCGTGTCGTTAGGTCTTCTAAGCGTTCCATATCGCTCTGTGGCACGGTGAACGGGGAGCAATAGCGCATCAGAGTTACACTGACCACGCGTGTGCTCAGCAGACCTAGAAGACACTTGACCGTCCTCTCCAAATTGGTAGATGAAATTCCGTCGAGGGCGAGCCCGGGCGAGGGAGCGAAGCCGTGTGCGACCAGCTGCGAGTTGATGTAATCGAGACTCGAAGTCGGGACGAAGGACGTCGATGCTTCTGAAGACGGCGAGTCGAAACTGGGCGGTTCGATCCCCCAGTGTACGCCTCTTGAAGGCGTGCGCGACATCGTGCCGTCGTCGAACACGGTGGACTACAGCAGGTTGTTTGGAATGATGCGTGGGAAACCGTTGACGCGGTCATGTGACTTGTTGAAACCTTCCCTCTTGGTTAATTGACCCCAACCAGCCAGACATCATTCGTGAGATAGGACAGGAACTCAGGCACATGGAACGTGTGGGTCAACCGAAATGAATGGTTGTTAAGGAGCCATTTCCGAAATCAAGTTGAGGTCACATCACTTGAATCATCCCTGGGCCATTCACTTGGAACTTGCTCCAGTACACACCGGTAGTGACCTCCCCCGGTCTCGGCAGACTCTGAGTGTCACCTGAAACTGTTCGATTGCATCTCACGATGCGCGATTTCTCCTTTTCCAATGTTACCTCCCCAAGATGAATACCAGTTTTATGCGTTTGAGATGAACCGAGACCTGACCCAGATTACTCACTTCCCCTTGAAATTCTTCACAAATCGCGCCATCAGCTGCGTAGCGCATCTGATGAATATGAATAGCCATCCTCGCTTGATAAAGTAGAACCGAATGAGTACTGAATGGAAGCGTGGATGCGCAGGGATGATCTCCCCAGAGCAATCAGGCCTTTACGTTTCGCGTCGTTTACAGGGTATATAAAGGCGAAAGAAAGTTGTGAGCCAACACACAATCGTGAACTCTCCTCGACCCGCAATGAACTTCAAATCTTTCCTTGCTCTGGCTACGATTGTGGGGGGTGCTCTGGCCCAGCAGATCCACGGCACCGCTGTCACATACACTATCACCGACACGACTTCTGTGTGTAATCGACGGGCTGCTACTGGCTTAGACTGACAATGTCCTTCTACAGCTTCCCTGTCTCGGCGCCGGGGTTCCTGCAAACCGAGTCAACATCGTCAAAAATGTTCTCGCCAACGGAAACTACGTCGTCGTTCCTGGTCTGGTGAGTGGCTGATAATCATCTCGAGCAAAGCAAGCAACCTATTCAATACGCCTGCACAGCCTCTTGCGAACTGTGGCTCTGCAGTCTTCTACCTGAACCAAGTGGACTCGAGCACGTCGTACACTGCATACGCCGTTGGCGTGTCTCCGGACAGCACCCTGGGATTGGGTCCGGTGCGTGTCGGAGCCAGGGATTACATTGCAATGTTATCTGACCTGTTCTACTAGGCGGCCTGGGCTGAATCAGCTGGGGGCGCAACCTCTTTCAATGCTGTCTGGGTAGTCTCTCCTACCAACGGCCGGTAGAGATGTCGTTTCTAGTGTAATCGTTGCCTACATGAAGCCACTATACAAGACGGACAACTTTTGGTCTGGACACAAGGTTTCATGAGAAGAGTGTGTCGTCAGGATCGTCTTCGTTACTGCCCGGTGGCCATCGTTCGATCGATATGAGCGGCTCCACCACCCGAACATTGGCACACAGCCAATCCAGGACGTCCTGCGCATCCAGATCCCCATCCTCTGCGTCTTCAAATATACTCGGCGACAGGCGCAGCACCTCGAGGGGGCGTCCGACTTTCCGGCGGCGGTCCACCGCGTCCCGAACCAAGGGGAGATCGTTCGCGTCCAGCGTTATGTGTAAAGCGTTGAGCGCGGGCCACGGTTCCGGATGTCGTCCCCCCTCATCAGCCAGCATCAGCAAGACCGACGGAACTTCCACCGTGTTGTGTATCAGTGTGAACTCCTCCACTAGGGGAAAGACGGCGCAAAGCTGGCACAGATCGTCAACCGAATTGCAGTCGAAGTCATAGAACGTCAGCGAGCGCAGAGCAGGGAATTTCGTGGACGCTCCAGGCATGGAGATGAATTCGTCGAGGTCCCCGTGCGTAGGTTCCTTCAGGATGAGTGTCGCTAGATTAGGCGCATCGAGTGTGATGAGCACACCGCTGAAGACACCCTGCAGCGTGGCCGGGATGGATAGCCGAAGCGAGATCAGGGAATGTGCGATAACGCTGCTCACGCGATGGAACGGCCACCGCTCCTCGTACAGGTCGTTCACAATGTTGTCGTGGATGGAAAGATGAGTCAGCATCGGCGCCGCGCTCACGAGATTCTTGAACCCCTCGAAGCCCAAGACGATGTCGCGGGTCTGTTCCAGATGGAGAGTCGTTATCGTAGACAGCGGGGGCCGGAAAAAGTGCATCGACAGCCCGCGAAGGCGAACAACCGACAGTCGAGGACATCCACGCGTCAAGATCTGCTCCAGATCAGAGCGGCGTAGTGTCCGGAGCGTTGGCGCGTCGACATCATGGACACAAAGGCCCAGCCACTCCAGCATGGGTGCCGCCTGGTCGTACAGGCGCCCGATGAAGGGGGCCTCCGCACACTCGATCTGCGCGTGGACTGTCACCCGCTGCCACCGATGCAGGTGCTGAAACACCAGATCCAGCTTCTCTGCGAGAGTTTCGGGCCCGTGCGGCGCGCGGGGCGTGAGATTTAAATGCAGGTGCAGCGGAGTCTGAGGGCCCGAGCGCGAAAGATATAAACGCAATCTGTCCATCGAGCACTCCGGCTCGACCCTAATCTGCTGCCAAAGTAGTCCCGTGCCTAGCGCGACGTCTCGCCAAAACCCACTGACATGCGAGACGACCATTTCTAGGGGCCGTTTCCGGTCACCCCAGTCCGACCCAAGCGGCACATGTTGAGCGAGCTGGAACACCCGGGAAAGCAGTTCGGGAGGGATAGACAGAGTGCAGTCGTCGGGGGACCTCATGATTCAGGACCTGGCTCTGCAAAGTGCGTGCCAAATGAATCAGCGGAATTGGGATTGGGGGAAAGATCACTACCTTGTCGGACGTAAATACAGAGCGCGGGGACCTGGTAGATGCAGTGCCCATGATTCGGCCGGTGCCCTCTTAAGTATAACGGGTCATCGCCCTTTATTGCGCGGAGCTATGCGATCAGCAAGCCGGGGGGCCGTGCTTGGCAGGCCGGTCACTCAAATGAATAAAATTTTGGCCATCTTCCCGGATCCTGGGATGAGGTTTGGCCATAAGTAGTCACCATCAGTACATGAAAGCGCACGAACACAACCTGCGCCAGAGCGGTGGGACGGAGGTGGGAAGCGCCTTAGGTAATCGATCGGCGCTCCGAGCTAATATCGAGATCCGAGGCTAGGATTAGATACTTACAACTATGCATTACACTGACGGCGATCATGTAAAGACCTGCTACGGTTTCGGCAGCTTGGGTTCTGGGCCAACGGCTTTCCATCGTCCAAGAACATGGTTGGCACGGACGATAAGCAGATCCCTCAGCATCTGCAATGACGCCGTCACCACGTTCAACTTGCTGCCCTCAACTTCGTGCCACTCAATCGGCACCTCCGCGACAGGAATCCCCACTTGTTTCGCCAGCAACAGGAGCTCCACATCGAATATCCAGGTCGGCAGTCGCTGGGCGGGGAAGATCCGACGGGCTGCTGCACGCGAAAACAGCTTGAAACCGCATTGCGTATCGCGAATGTGCCCAACCCCGACGATTCGAAGGATCGTATGTAAGCCGTACATGAGGATGTTCCGTAACAGGGACCGCTAGAAAAAGAATGAGGAGAAAGAACGGACCACATGTGCATCTCCCCATACCTTGACTACAGCCTCTGTCTTGACCAGATGAGCTCTGCTTCCCACGACCATGCCAGCCCCATCACCGGGTGCAATTTTGTCCATGGCATCCCATAATAGCTCCAGATCAACGAACCGACTGGCACCGTCCGCATCGACCATGAGCATGCGTCTCCCGCCACTGAACAACATCCCGTGGCGCACAGCACCCCCTTTCCCGAGGTTCTTCTCCAGTTTGACTACGCGAATATCGCACTTCGGGTACGTTCCGGCTAGTTTCAGCGCCGCCGCCGCCGTACCGTCTGACGACCCGTCATCGACAATGACAATTTCGAATGTATGCTTGTTTTTCAGCGCAGGCGAAGAGAGGTGGTCGATGGCTGCGGCGAGCATGACAGGGAGGCGCTCGGTCTCGTTGAACGCAGGGACGACCACTGAGAGGTCAACAGTGGGAGGATCAGCTAATTTAGTGAGCACACGCGGCTTCTTTGGCGATGAGTGGCAGAGATATTTCGTTTCCGACGGACGGGTGATTATAGGTGGAGGTGACCAAAGGACCAGCAGAACATAGAGCTGTAACAAAGGCGTCAGTCTTCTGGTCTGGGTTCCATAGAATGTACAAGTCAGACAAAGGGACGTATCCCTGACCCAGAGATTTCGTCTTCACCCCGGCGCAGACCGCGAAGGATCGCCCAGAGCTCGAAGAACAAGGATGAAGGGGCGCTCATCACGAAGCAATGCAAGAAAGCCGGAACTCACTGTCGAAAGCCCTAATACCAAGGCAGTGGCCCCACCGAGCAGCAGGGGAGAGTAACTGTCCATATAATCCTACTGTCTTTACCAGTGTCCAGACTAGCGTTGCATATAGCGACCACCCAAATTTGGAAAATGAGCAATGGAAGGAGTGTCGGAGGCCAGTCCCCAGATGTTGAGCAAAGTCGGTAGCAGGGACAGAAGAGTGAGTAGGTGGTGGATACTTCAGACACAGAGCATGTCGCGCTGCCAGTGCCACGACACGCGAAAATGCGATCAAAGTTGCCACGAGATCCCGTGACCATCAATATCTCACAACAACACGTCGCGGTCGGTTCGTGAATATTTCGTGTTCTGATTTGTCGGCAGGTCGCTCACATCACGGCCCGCCAGAAACCGGACTGCTTCTATATATGATGCGATTTGGGCGTGAATTTCTCGGCTCCGCTTCTCTTTGAAATCATGGCTTCTGTTGGAAACATAAATCTGAGCGGATGCCCGGTCGTCGCGTTGAGGCCATCTGCATTCCGCCAGCGTGTTCTGAATAGCCGTGTGTGTGACAAATTACTGAGTCGTGCTATGCCGAGCCCGCGTACCATCGGAGAGCGGGCCGATCACGTGGCTCACCGGATTTCTCATCTACGGGGCCCCTCACTCGCTTATTTGCGTCATGTGGGCGTGCAGTGGCTGAACCCTTTTCCCAACCCAAGGTCCCAAGCCCAAGTGCGATCGCCGAAGCACACTTAAAAACGGTTGCCCGTGATGCCTACCCCAGTGTCCCCACTCGAAAGAATCCCTGTGCCATGAAAACGACGTCTGCGCTGCTCGCTCTAGCTGCGCTTGTTGCCACCTCGGGCATCGACGCCAAACACTCCTCTGACGTTCCCTGGAAACACCTCTCTATCTCCGCCCCCGTCAACGGACGCTACCTGCACCGAACGCACAGCGGCGAGCCGTTCTTCTGGCAGGCTGATACTGCGTGGGAGCTGTTCCACCGACTAAACCGCACCGACATCGACTTCTACCTACGTGACCGCGCCAGCAAGGGTTTCAATGTCATCCAGTCGGTCGTCATCTCCGAGCTCAATGGGACGACGTTCCCCAACTTCTATGGCCAGCTTCCCATTTGACGCCGACCCCACACGACCAAACGACGCGTACTTCGAGCACGTCGACTGGGCAGTAAAGCGTGCCGCCGAGCACGGAATCCTGATTGCTCTGGTGCCAACGTGGGGGATGTACATGAACTGCGGGTGGCACAATGGGCCTGTGATCTTCAACAAGACGACGGCGGAAATGTGGGGCGAGTACATTGGCCGCCGGTATCCGGGTCTCCCGAAGATCATCGGCGCGGACTCGAACGCTTTCTGGGCTTGCAATACGTCTGCTGCGCAGGATGCCTTCCGTGCCGATCCGGCGCTAGACCCCAACACATTATTGGGTCCTATCGAGGACACCCGGGATATCTGGAGCAAGATGGCCCGTGGTCTCAACACTTCGGAGGCGGCGGCGGGTTTCCAAGCATTTTACACGTGGCATCCCACCAACTCGTGGATATCAACTCCGGACACGGGCTTGCCGTACGGCCACAATGTAATGCGGCCTCTTTCGCGTTGCTCTACTACCCTTTCTGACTCATTTCCGACATAGTATATGAACGGGTCGTTCGGTCGTGTTTCGATGGATGCAGTCCAATCGGGACATAATATCCCGGATCCCAATAGCCTAGATGCTGGATTTACTCCCATCAGCGGCTGGGACAGCACCAAGAACTACGAGAACACAGCGACGATGCGGGCAGCCTTTTCGGGTCCCGTGGTCGACCTGGAGAACCATTACGAAGGCGCATTCATTGGTTTCAACAGCTCCCGGCCGCTCTGGAATGACTCGGTCGTCCGTCACGGCTTGTGGTCCGCCGTGCTGAGTGGCAGCGCGGGGTTTACATACGGAGCGCATGCTATCTGGCAGTTCTACGCCCCCCTCGATCAACTCGCGCGGCCGGACCTGTTCTTGGAGCCCCAGCTTTCCCAGCCGGCCAACCAGAGCTGGCGTGATGCACTGCATTTCCCGGGATCGAAGCAGGCGGGCTATGTGCAGAAGCTGTTCGGCAAGTTGGACAAAGAGACGTTCAATGCTATGCAGCCTGATCGCTCGTTCATTGTCGACAAGGATGTTCTTGCTTTCGAGGCCAACCGGTACGTTGCCGCCTTGGTCTCCACGGATCGCTACTGGGTCTACACCGGCTTCGGTGATACCTTCACTCTTGACCTGGATAGCCTCGGGAGCCATCTGAAGGCGTCGAAAGCTAAAGCAAAAGCCCAATGGTACGACCCCCGCAGTGGACAGCACAAGCATGTCGCAGAGGGGGCGGTCTTTGCGCTGAAAGGCAACAAGACATTTGTCCCGCCGACAAGTGGTAGTGTGGACCATGATTGGGTCTTGGAGTTGCGGGCGGAAAAATGAGTGGTAAATAACGAATGTTGACGTCTAATATCTCTCCCATGCATCAACTGCTCTATGTCCGATACTGCCTGTCTTCGACGGTCACTTGATCGTTGATAGTTGTCTCGCTTTTATACGGACTCTTCGCACGTCTTACAGTTTGATTCTGGACAGAGTTATGTGTCTTCCAAGAACATCGTATCTTCCACTGTGCCATCTCTGATTGCGCCGAGGGTTGACTTACAGGCACACACATCTCTTAGCCCACAGCCCGCAGTTCAAATACGAGGTTGGACGTCCAAGAAGTCCAGAAGCCGAATACTCCCGTCGGGTTTCCGGACACTGGGACATAAAACTGTTGAAATTCGGCTCGAGAGTGGGACAGTCTGTACTGATTGGAAGTGCAAGAGATTCGTTTCTCTCATATCGTGACAAGGAGTCTGGGCCCTCCACCGTAAGAATCTGATTTCAGATCAACGTTGTTCGCTCTACAGAGCGGATGACCTCAGGCGACTGTTCGTCGAAGTCACCTGCATCCCGCAAAGCGTAATCGTAATTGCCGCGTGTGTGACAAAATTGATGAGCCGCGCCATGCCGCGCCATCTTGTGCCATCGGAAACCGGGCCGATCACGTGGAGGAGCAAGAATTCCCATTTATGGGGTCACTCCTGTCTACCTACTCTCACCGATTTCCGTCATGTGGGGTACTTCTCTCGCGTCGAGTCCGAAAACATTCTGCACACCCGACCACGATTGACGTGGGTATGGGTAACGCGCTCGAGCACTATAAATGCCTGCCCTGCTACCCTCTAGATCTGAGAAAACTTCTGTTCACGAGTGCCAATGAAGATAACGTCCCTGCTTCTCGCTGTAGCCGCGCTGGCAAACTCAGGTATCCAGGCCAAACAGTCTGACGTTCCCTGGAAACATCTCTCCATCTCCGCCCCTGTTAATGGACGACACCTACACCGAACAATCACCGGCGAGCCGTTCTTCTGGCAAGCAGATACTGCATGGGAGCTGTTCCACCGACTGAACCGCAGCGACATCGACTTCTACCTACGTGATCGCGCCAGCAAGGGGTTTAATGTCATCCAGTCGGTCGTCATTCCGGAACTGAATGGGACGACGTTCCCCAACTTCTATGGCCAGCTGCCCATCTTTGACGCCGACCCCACACGACCGAACGACGCGTACTTCGAGCACGTCGACTGGGCAGTGAAGCGCGCCGCCGAGTATGGAATTCTCATCGCGCTAGTACCGACATGGGGGATGTATGTGAACTGCGGGTGGCACAATGGGCCTGTGATCTTCAACAAGACGACGGCGGAGATGTGGGGCGAGTACATTGGCCGCCGGTATCCGGGTCTCCCAAAGATCATCGGCGCGGACTCGAACGCGTTCTGGTCTTGCAATACGTCTGCAGCTAGGATGCCTTCCTTGCCAATCCGACGCTGGATCCGAACACCTTGTTAAGTCCCATCGAGGACACCCGGGATTTGGAGCAAGATGGTCCGTGGTTTCAACAATCGGAAGCCGCGGCGGGTTTCCAGGCATTCTATACATGGCATCCCACGGGTGCATGGCGATCAACACCTGACACAGGCTTGGCGTACGGTCACAATGTACTTGAGTTCTCACGAGCCCTGTTCCGTCGCCCTTACTGATTCATTCCGACGTAGTATATGAACGGATCGTTCGGTCGCCTTTCGATGGATGCAGTGCAATCGGGCCATACCATCCCGGACCCTAATACCATTCAATTCACTCCCCTCACCAGCTGGGACAGCACAAGAACTACGAGAATACAGCAGCGATGCGTGCGGCCTTTTCGGGCCCCGTGGTCGACCTGGAGAATCATTACGAAGGTGCATTTGTAGGCTTCAACACCTCCCGGCCGCTCTGGAACGATTCGGTCGTCCGCCACGGCTGTGGTCCGCCGTGCTGAGTGGCAGTGCGGGATTACATACGGAGCGCATGCTATCTGGCAGTTCTACGCCCCCCTCGACCAACTCGCGCGGCCGGACCTGTTTATAGAGCCCCAGATTTCTCAGCCGGCGAACCAGAGCTGGCGCGATGCGCTGAAATTCCCGGGATCACAACAAGCAGGCTATGTGCAGAAGTTGTTTAGCAAGCTCGACAAAACGACGTTCAATGCCATGGAACCTGATCGCTCGTTCATTGTCGAGAAAGACGTTCTCGCTTTCGAGGCCAACCGATATGTCGCTGCTTCGATTTCTACGGATCGCTACTGGGTCTACACTGGCTTCGGCGACACATTCAGCCTCAATTTGGACAGCCTCGGGAGCCATCTGAAGGCGCCGAGCGCTAAAGCACAGGCCCAGTGGTATGACCCGCGCAGTGGTCGCTCCAGGAATGTCACAGAGGGGGCTATCTTTGCGCTGAAAGGTAGCAAGACATTTGTTCCGCCGACAAGTGGTAGTGTTGACCACGACTGGGTCTTGGAGTTGCAGGTGGAAAAATGAGCAATAAATAATCAATGATAACGTCTGATGTGTCATCTATGTACTGATTATCACTATCCCTCATGCTGCTTGACTCTATCGTTAACTTGAGTGCGGGTTTTGGCTAGCTTTTATCTGCCCTGGAACACCTAGAGCTCGCTACGGATTCTCACATGCCTGGCAGCTTAGAGTCTTAGACTGAATATCATCATGTCGTCCTCTGATCCACTGAGCCATCCTTCGAAAGCGCCGAGGGGTCAACTCGCGGACCTATCTCTTCACTCAGAACCGCCGAGCAAATAAGAAATTTAAAAATCTTGGAAACAGCAGCAGCTGAGCGCCGAATACTCATCTCGGGTTTCTGGAACGATTGGAGATGTTGGCTCAGGAGCGAGACCATCTACACTTGCTGTAAGGATAAAAGATTCGTTTTTCTCGTCTTTCTACCCGTGGAAAGTGGTCTACATCTCCCAGAGTACCTGATTATCGAAGTCACTGAC